ATCGAAAAGCGAATCAATTTTCCCCATAAATAATGGAAAACAAATTAATCCGTGCAAGACACCCAAAAGTATGAAAAAAAAAATTTACCACATGAAATATTAAGTTTAATGCACACAAACTGAAGAAGACATGCACAGTTTGTAGTACTCTACTAATAATAGAATACATGACACTTAACTTTAATGAAGATCTGGTGATGATTGATGGGATGGGAGGAGGGGAGAGTGTCGAACTTATTGTTTAGAAGGGGAATCCCCCTCCAATAGGACTTGAGGTAGCAAGTCCTTTTCCGGGGTTACTTCCCTTCTTCTTTTAATGCCACTAGGACCAGCTTTAGAGTCACTGGCAACCTCACCATGCCTAATCACACTATGTATGCCACTACGATTCTTAAATCTTTCAAACCAACCCTTGCTGGCCTTAAATTCACTCACCTCACCACTAGTTGCAGGCAATTTCTTTATCAAATCGTCATGCAACTGCCTAGCCTTTTCACAAATGATCACTTGAGAGATGCTATCTCCTGCTATCTGTTTTTCATTTATTCACACCAACAACAGTCTCTCAACATCTTCTAACACTTGCGGTCGCTGTTTTGTAATCACAGTTGCACCTTTTGCAACAACAGCTTCCTTGATTGCTGTTTTCCTGGTCACTATAGTAGAGATGGTTGATTGGGGTTTTGTATACAACCTGGCCAGCTCCGACACACGCACTCCACTTTCGTACTTTGCAATTATCTCTTTCTTCATTTCAATAGTCATTAGCACCCTTTTTTTCAAAGGGTTGGCACTAGAAGCTTTCTTGGGGCCCATGGTGACTTATTTTGCAAAAACAAGCACCAAAAACACTGTGATAATATGGAATGTACCGAATGTATCCTTAGATGCGAGCACACTGGCTGGCTTGTAAACACTGGCACACACGTGGACACGTCTCGGACGAATCGTATACCGGGTTTTTAACGGGAACTGAGGCAAAAATTTTGCGTTAAACTGTATCGAATACCGGATTTATCAGATACTGATGGCATCGCAAACTGGGGGTCCACTGTATAATAATAAACAATATAAATAACATAGAACCTGTTATACACTCTAGAATGAATAAAATATGTCATTACGTGGACAGCGGAGGGAGACGGATTGCTGTCGCAAGAGTGGTCACTATGTACAATTTTTGTTTATCTCATTACACTATGTACCTAGTCTGTGCTTATCAATGATTTCTTGCTTTAATTCCAAGCAAATCATCCTCTTTTTCTTCTCTGCACTGTCCTTTGCACTTGCTTTCTTAGGACCCATGGTAAGAAGAAAGAAATCTGGCGAATTAACTGCACGAAACTTAAGGAAATCACGAGAATTCCTTGCACCGCAAGGAACATGTACACTGGTGACCATTGTGGTGGTGTTGTCAAACTAAATTATACACAGTACATAATATTGTTATTAATATACTGTTATTATTTATTTTATTATAGATAATTATTATGTATTATCATTATTATTAGTACATACGCATTATTATTTATTTATTTATTTTATGTCTTTGCAAACAGTACATTGAGATTTTATATTTACAATAGTGGGTTGCAATGCAAAGATAGCCTCTATTATGCCTAGGCATTATGGTCCAACTTAACATTATTGGCTTACAGTCTACTTAACACTAAGGATTATATCATAGTTGTACAGTAGGATAGTAATTATTTCATAGTTGAACAGTAGATTATTAATTATAAGTAAATCAAAATTTGTATAAGACAAAAGATAAATTCATCTATTCAAAAATGCATTTTGTGAAGACAATGATTCAATTATATTCCTGTCAACAATGGATAAAAGGTTCAAAGTGATTGTTGAAGTTATAATGTGGGAGTACTTAAGTGAGTATGTGTGTACTGAGTATTAGCATTTAGTCTAGAGTGATTAAGTGGCTTTTGAGAAGAGTCTTAAATTGATTTTCAGACCGGGTTACTTTAATATCTTCTGGTAATGAATTCCATATTTTGGGGCCCTTTATGTGCATAGAGTTTTTACAGTGTGATATGGACACGAGGTATATCAAAAAGAGATCTGTGTCTTGTGTTGTGGTCATGTGTCCTGTTGAGGTTGGTAAGGAGAAGTTTGAGTGGAGGGATTATATTGGCATGTATTGTTCTGTGTATGTAGTAGGCACATGAAAGTATGGATGTTATTAATGGTGAGCAGATTCAGACTTTTGAAAATTGGTGGAGTATGCTGACAGGAGTGGGAATTTGTTATCATTCTTACTGCTGCCTTTCGCTGGGTTATTAGGGGTTTTAGGTGATTGGATGTTGTTGATCCCCATGCACAAATTCTATATGTAAGATAAGGGTATATGAGTGAATGGTACAGTGCCAGGAGAGTTGATTGTGGAATGTAGTACCTTATCTTTGATAGTATGCCTACAGTCTTGGAGATTTTCTTGGTGATTTGTTGTATGTGTGTCTGGAAGAGCACAGATCCAATTCCCTAGATCAAGAGCCCCTCACCATGTACGTACTACTACCACTAATAATAATAATCTTTCTTTCTTTCAACAAACCGGCCGTATCCCACCGAGGCGGGGTTGCCCAAAAGGAAAAACGAAAGCTTCTCCTTTTACATTTAGCAATATATACAGGAGAAGGGGTTACTAGCCCCTTGCTCCTGGCATTTTAGTCGCCTCTTACAACACTCCTATCTAACATGCTCACACACACTTGCTGGAAGTCCAAGCCCCTTGCCCACAAAACTTTCTTTACCCCCTCCCTCCAACATTTTCGATGATGACCCCTTCCTCTACAGATTTATACTCTCTCCAAGTCATTCTACTTTGATCCAATCTCTCTAAATGACCAAACCACTTCAACAACCCCTCTTCAGCCCTCTGACTAATACTTTTAGTAGCTCCACATCTCCTAATTTCCACACTTAGATTTTTTTTTTTTCGACAAACCGGCCGTATCCCACCAAGGCAGGGTGGCCCAAAAAGAAAAATGAAAGTTCCACTTTTTAAATTTAGTAATTTATACAGGAGGAGGGGTTACTAGGCCCTTGCTCCCGGCATTTTAGTTGCCTCCTACAGCACGCATGGCTTACGGAGGAAGAATTCTGTTCCACTTCCCCATGGAGATAAGAGGAAATAAACAAGAATAAGAACTAGAAAGAAAATAGAAGAAAACCAAGAGGGGTATGTATATATATGCTTGTACATGTATGTGCAGTGTGACCTAAGTGTAAGTAGAAGTAGCAAGACATACCTGAAATCTTGTACGTTTATGAAACAGAAAAAAGGACACCAGCAATCCTACCATTATTTAAAACAATTACAGGCTTTCGCTTTACACTCACTTGGCAGGATGGTAGTACCTCCCTGGGCGGTTGCTGTCTACCAACCTACTACCTTTAACTAATAATATTATAATAATTATTATCATTATTATTAATTTGGAGACCAAGAGCACAGATCCAATTCCCTAGATCAAGAGCCCCTCACCATGTACATACTACTACTACTAATAATAATAATAATAATATTAATAATCATGATTATAACAACAACAATAATATTAATAATACAATATAATAGTAATAATAATAATAACAGTAAGGAGAAACTTCAAAAGGCAGCCAGTAGTTGGTGCCACCATCAGCAAACCATTGGTAACCACTGCTAGTACATTTTTCACCTGTCTAGACTTTAGTAGTCTATTAGTATTAGGTTAAGTCTGCCCGAAATGCCTCAGCATGACAGAAGCTTTCTTTGCTCCAATCATATTATATGTAAACACACATTGTAACCTTTGCAAAGAAATAAATACACCTACCATCCAACTTACGACCAAGTTCGGTTCCGAGAAACCGGTCGTAAGTCGAAATGGTCGTAAGTTGAACTTTACTACTGAATATCAACAAAACATTTTTGTAATGACTTTATTTTATTGTTTTATTTTGGTATTTCATGCTTTACTTTACTTTTTATGCTGTTAGTACTGTATTTTATACTGTAAGGTTTAGGATAAACACTGTGTACAACACAAATAGTTGTTTATTTCCCAGAAATTTGGCATAAGAAACACGGTCGTAAGTCGAGTGGTCGTAAGTCGAGCAGGTTGTAAGTCGGATGGTAGGTGTATTTTATTTACCTATTTATTTATTTAAGGAACCTCCCTTGATGGGGAAGTTCGCATCCTGAAATTTCGTTCATATACAGAAGCAAAAAATCGATGGAACGATGGTTCGTATCCTGAAAAATTTGCATGGTGGGGCGTTCATAAGCCGAGGTTCCACTGTATATGGTGTACATCACAAAAAATAATCTAGACTCAAACTTCTGAAGTACAAGATATTGATTGGGAGGAAGAAACTGGCCAAGAATATTATTAGTTTTTAGGATTATGATGATAAATGAGAGAGTTAGAATAGTTTGGGTAGTTTTTTTAATACACTGTCTCCTACCGAGGCAGGGTGACCCTCCCCCCTAAAAAAAAAAAAAACGCTTTCACCATTATTCACACTATCTCTTGTCTTTGCAGAGGCACGCAGATAAGACAGTTCAGAAGTCACTCCTTTACAGTGCAAGCATTGTACCTCCCACCTCCAGGACTCAAGTCCAGCTAACCAGTTTCCCTGAATCCTTTCACAAAATATTACCCTGTTCACACTCCAACAGCTCGTTAAGTCCCAAAAACTATTTGTCTTCATTCGCTCCTATCTAAGAACATGCTCACATATGCCTGCTGAATGTTCATGCCCCTTATAAACGTAAAAAGAAAATTTTACGAGAGCAAATTTTGATATGCAGCATCAATAATCATCTTCATTAGAAACAACTACCACTGTTTATTACAATATTCTTTATTTTATCTAATCTTATTAATCTGGCAAATATTACCTAAGAGGGAAATAGAATTAAAGCAAATTAATCATAATTAAAATCACTTTAGTTCAAAAAGAGCCATGTATGACTCAGAAAAACATTTATTCCAACTCACCAGTTCAGCAATTGTTGATTCAAGATCATTAATACGAAGTCTAAGTTGTTCTTCATTGTGTGTAGCATGGGAGCGTGATCGCTGTACCTCAATACGCATGGCCTCCAACTCCGCATGAAGAGCTTCTATGAGTGACTCCCGCTCTGCTACTACCTCAGCCAGAGACCTATTTTGAAACACAATGAGTATAGTCTCCCTTAATTCCTATTAAGATTATACTTTTATGTCATTACACATCATGTAGTGTTTAAAAATTTAGCTCATTAATGCTAACTGAATTTATTTATTTTTATTAACACATTGGCCATTTCCCACCAAGGCAGGGTGGCCCGAAATAGAAAAACTTTCATCATTCACTCCATCGCTGTCTTGCTAGAGGCGTCCTTACACTACAGTTATAAAACTGCAACATTAACACCCCTCCTTCAGAGTGCTGGCATTGTACTGTATTTATTCTTTTTTTTATTTATAATTTTTGTTAACACACCAACTGTCTCCCACTAAGAAAAGCTCCAAAAAAAGAAAACACATTCACCCTTATTCACTAAGTAGCTGTCTTATCAGAAGTATAGAGATTACATTTCAAACAACCCTCCAAATTGCAACATTCCCTACCCAGGCACTGGACCTCCCACTCCAAGGACTCCAGTTTAGGTAATCATTGCTGGTTTATCATGTTTAATACAAGTTTTGCATGGTAATGCAAAACTTGTCTTGTATACCCATGAATACTTTTAATTAAATTCCTGTGTAAGCTTAAGTCTTGCTCAAAAGGCCCAGCATTATATAATATGACCTTCCCAAAAAATATTTCCTATTATGCTGTTTCAACCATCTAGAACAAGGGTTTCTCAACCAATTAACCAGATGACCCACCAGTTTAAGGTACACCCTGTTTATGGCCCCCATTAGAGCAGCAGCCCACTGTCTGAAAAACTCTGATCTGATTCAATGTAGGATTTTCTGAATAGTGCAACACACTGCTTTATAAAATCTTGAATTTCATAACATAGTATTTACAAATGAAAGGGAATATTTTAAATTCTTGAATTCAGAATAGTGTAACCTCTGAAATGCACAATTAACTTATTAAGGAGTGAGGCTAGATTTGTTCTAACTTTGAAAACTGATCTTTAATTCAGAACTTTTTCCAGAATAAAACAAACATATCACACTGCTATTTGTATTTTTCTATAATTAGAACACTTTTGCAAAGTCACTATTTCCATTAATTAAGACTTTGTAATCCCACATTTAACAACCAGGATGCATAAAAGAAAAAAAAAAAAAAAGGATGTTAAGTAAATTTCACACTCATCAAAACCCATTTTCCATCCAGTTTTTCTCAATGAAACCTAAATTTTTACTGAAAGCATCAGACAGGCACCTACAGTCTGTAAACAAGATATGAACATGATATAGTAAATGCAGGGTGTGTCATCCCTCCCAAGAATATAATACAATAGCTTTTCTGTATTTTCATTAAATGCAGATTTTTTTTGTAGGCAGTAGGTTGGAAGACAGAATCCATTTGGGGAGGTACTACCGACCTATTAAGTGAGTGTAAAAAGGAAGCCTGTATTTGCTTTACATTATGGTAGGATTGCTGGTGTCCTTTTTTCTGTCTCATAATCATGCTAGATTTCAGGTGTCTTGCTTCTTCTACTTACACTTAGTTCACACTACACATACATGTACATGTTTATGTATACACACTCATCTGAATTTTCTTAGATTTTATCTTAATAGGTCTTGTTCTTATTGTTTTCCTTTCATATCCATGGGGAAGTGGAATAAGAATCTTTCCTCCGTAAGCCATGCGTGTTGTAAAAGTCAACTAAAATGCCGGGAACAATGGGCTAGTAACCCCTTTTCCCGTATAGCTTACTAAAAAGAAAAAGAAGAAAACTGTCAAAGTGGGATGTTTGAATGTGTGTGGATGTTGTGTGAATGATAAGAAAGAGATGATTGTGGATGTTATGAATGAGAAGAAGCTGGATGTCCTGGCAATAAGTAAAACAAAGCTGAAGGGAGGTTTTCTTCTATTTTCTTTCTAGTTCTTATTTTTTTTTATTATCACACTGGCCGATTCCCACCAAGGCAGAGTGGCCCGAAAAAGAAAAACTTTCACCATCATTCACTCCATCCCTGTCTTGACAGAGGGGTGCTTTACACTACAGTTTAAACTGCAACATTAACACCCCTCCTTCAGAGTGCAGGCACTGTACTTCCCATCTCCAGGACTCAAGTCCGGCCTGCCGGTTTCCCTGAACCCCTTCATAAATGTTACTTTGCTCACACTCCAACAGCACATCAAGTATTAAAAACCATTTGTCTCCATTCACTCCTATCAAACACGCTCAGGCATGCCTGCTGGAAGTCCAAGCCCCTCGCACACAAAACCTCCATTACCCCCTCCCTCCAACCTTTCCTAGGCCGACCCCGACCCGGTCTTCCTTCCACTACAGACTGATACACTCTTAAGTCACTCTGTTTCACTCCATTCTCTCTACATGTCCGAACCACCTCAACAACCCTTCCTCAGCCCTCTGGACAACATTTTTGGTAATCCCGCACCTCCTCCTAACTTCCAAACTACGAATTCTCTGCATTATATTCACACCACACATTGCCCTCAGACATGACATCTCCACTGCCTCCAGCCTTCTCCCTGCAACATTCATCACCCATGCTTCACACCCATATAAGAGCGTTGGTAAAACTATACTCTCATACATTCCCCTCTTTGCCTCCAAGGACAAAGTTCTTTGTCTCCACAGACTCCTAAGTGCACCACTCACCCTTTTCCCCTCATCAATTCTATGATTCACCTCATCTTTCATAGACCCATCCGCTGACACATCCACTCCCAAATATCTGAATACATTCACCTCCTCCATACTCTCTCCCTCCAATCTGATATCCAATCTTTCATCACCTAATCTTTTTATCCTCATAACCTTACTCTTTCTTGTATTCACTTTTAATTTTCTTCTTTCGCACACCCTACCAAATTCATCCACCAATCTCTGCAACTTCTCTTCAGAATCTCCCAAGAGCACAGTGTCATCAGCAAAGAGCAACTGTGACAACTCTCACTTTATGTGTGATTCTTTATCTTTTAACTCCACACCTCTTGCCAAGACCCTCTTACAACCCCATCTATAAATATATTAAACAACCACGGTGACATCACACATCCTTGTCTAAGGCCTACTTTTACTGGGAAATAATTTCCCTCTTTCCTACATACTCTAACTTGAGCCTCACTATCCTCATAAAAACTCTTCACTGCTTTCAGTAACCTACCTCCTACACCATACACCTGCAACATCTGCCACATTGCCCCCCTATCCACCCTGTTATACGCCTTTTCCAAATCCATAAATGCCACAAAAACCTCTTTAGCCTTATCTAAATACTGTTCACTTATATGTTTCACTGTAAACACCTGGTCCATACACCCCCTACCTTTCCTAAAGCCTCCTTGTTCATCTGCTATTCTAGTTCTTGTTCTTGTTTATTTCCTCTTATCTCCATGGGGAAGTGGAACAGAATTCTTCCTCCATCAGCCATGCGTGTTGTAGGAGGCAACTAAAATGCCAGGAGCAAGGGCCTAGTAACCCCTCCTCCTGTATAAATTACTAAATTTAAAAAGTGGAACTTTCATTTTTCTTTTTGGGCCACCCTGCCTTGGTGGGATACGGCCGGTTTGTCGAAAAAAAAAAAAAAATCTAAGTGTGGAAATTAGGAGATGTGGAGCTACTAAAAGTATTAGTCAGAGGGCTGAAGAGGGGTTGTTGAAGTGGTTTGGTCATTTAGAGAGATTGGATCAAAGTAGAATGACTTGGAGAGAGTATAAATCTGTAGAGGAAGGGAGGCAAGGTAGGGGTCATCATCGAAAAGGTTGGAGGGAGGGGGTAAAGAAAGTTTTGTGGGCAAGGGGCCTGGACTTCCAGCAAGCGTGTGTGAGCATGTTAGATAGGAGTGAATGGAGATGAATAGTTTTTGGGACCTGACGAGCTGTTGGAGTGTGAGCAGAGCAATATTTAGTGAAGAGATTTAGGGAAACCAGTTAGCCGAACTTGAGTCCTGGAAATGGGAAGTACAATGCCTGCACCTTAAAGGAGGGGTTTGGGATATTGACAGTTTGGAGGGACTTCTAAACTGTCGTATCTGAGCGCCTCAGCAAGACAGTGATTATCTGTGAGGCGAGTGTTGAATGATGAAAGTATTTTCTTTTCGGGGATTTTTTCTTTCTTTTTGGGTCACCCTGCCTCAGAAGGAGACAGCCAACTTGTTGAAAAAAATAAAAAAAATTCCAAATGACCATTTGGAATATGAACCATGGTTCATATTTTGATAAATACCAGGCAAGAATTGTGGATTTTTTCTTTTCTCTTCATTTTTTTGAACTTTGTAATAAACCACTGCTATGATAGGTTGCAAAGCACATGACACCAAGTTACCGTATCCTACGTCAATAATTAAAATTGTACAAAACAGTAACAAAGATGAAGATTACTGAATTACTATATTTGTATTATTAATTATATTGGTGCAGTATGCTGAACTCTGAGTATACAGTAATTACAAGCTTTCATACATTACCTGTAAAAATTAATAAAATAAAAATCACAAAGGACAGTGAATACTGTCTTACTTTTTAAAAAGTATACCAGTATGATTACTTGCCCATTATGATTGTCAATAAGGTCAGGATGTGGTGGTATAGGTGGTGGCTCAGGCTCTGATGTATCAATAAGAAGAGAGTCTGATGTATCGGCTGCTTCATGTTGCTCCTCTACGACCACCACTGGAGTTTCGTGACTCCGCAATTCAGCTTCTATAAGGAAGTTTGGAGCATCCTGTACAACAAGAAGAAAAAAGAAATTAAGCTATCCTGTACATATATAGTGCTTATTTGTTCTGTATCTATAACATTTCATTCGTTAATTCAGATATGGCACAATTTGAGCAACTGTAAATTTAATGTAGAAAATAGTGCTGCATTCTACAAGTTATGTAGAATCTTCATAATTTTGGGGGGATGGTCAAACACTATCGTCGTAAGCTTCTCTCTTTTATGTGCGGGTTATTTGTGTAACTATGGTAATATTTCACACACACTTCCATTACTTGGGCATTTGGAATACCACATGGTTTCTTCAGCATATAATATGGTTACAGTAAACCCTTGATTTAATGAACTTCAAAAACTTCTTGAAGTCAATCGATAACAAAATAGTCTTATTGTAAAGATCATGACAAATCTCTCATCTCTGTCCACCACAACCATCATTACTGGCCACCTTCTTCCCACTTTAAGTACATTATATCAAAGGTTTACTTATAATTAAAATATGTTTGGTAAGATGGCCTACACTGTATGTATGTATGTGTGTGTGTATATTTTTTTTTTTTTTTTTTTTTTTTTTTCAACAAGTCGGCCGTCTCCCACCGAGGCAGGGTGACCCAAAAAAGAAAGAAAATCCCCAAAAAGAAAATACTTTCATCATCATTCAACACTTTCACCACACTCGCACATTATCACTGTTTTTGCAGAGGTGCTCAGAATACAACAGTCTAGAAGCATACACATATAAAGATACACAACATATCCCTCCAAACTGCCAATATCCCAAACCCCTCCTTTAAAGCACAGGCATTGTATGTACTTCCCATTTCCAGGACTCAAGTCCGGCTATATAAAAATAACCAGTTTCCCTGAATCACTTCACTAAATATTACTCTGCTCACACTCCAACAGCTCATCAGGTCCCCAATGCCATTCGTCTCCATTCACTCCTATCTAACACGCTCACGTACACATGCTGCTGCATGCAAAGTAAGCCGAAGTTGGGTTCAATACCCTTCTCTACGCTCACGAAGTCAGAGCCTTTGCTAATACAACATACTATAAAAGAACCCTCATTAAAAACTTACTAAGGTTGAAAATAAAACATTCACATTTCTTGTTTTTGCCCCCAAAAAATTACTAAACCGCACCTGGACTAATCATATACAAAAAAAAGTGTATTTAGTAAAAAATGAAGGAAAAAATTCATTAACAATTCTGTACCAGTAACATAAAAGTCAAAACTTGAAAAAAAAAAAAAATCATATTTCTTGATTTATCTTTACCCCAAAAATATAAGGATAAACACACGCACTTAAGTCAATTTACTCACAGTCTGGTGGGTAAATTGATTTCACATTTAACAAACTACATTAAATTCAGAATTGCCTCTGTTCACTGAGTAACTTGAATTTTGAAATAAACAGTTCATTAAATCCAAAATTATTTGTTTTGTTACAAGCATGGTAAAATAATCTCATCACTTGAAAGTTTACAAACAATTAACATTAATGGACATCCCCTTTTTCTATTAGTCTATTAAATCAAGGCTTCACTTGTTTTTTAACACAATGGCTGTCTCCCATTGAGGTAGGGTGGCCTGAAAAAGAAGAAATACAGGTCGGACATCACTGATCTGCCAATCAGTAATCTGGTATTAATTCTGGCTGGCATAATTTCAAATTTTCAAATTTCTTTTTCTCCATTTACTGTTATAACCTTCTCACTTTTAGCCCTAGCCACGGTTCCAATGAATAAAAGAAATACTTCTCATCGTGAAAAGCACATACACCGTACATGGCCCATAAAAGATAAAGTGGTTTTAAACCCACTGTCGGTCGCCAAGCTCAGCTCACTCAGACAAGCTGTGACTGGTAAATTTGGGCCTACATATGAGAGAATAGGTCTGTGTGGTAAGTGTATATTATACAAAAAAAATCTTGCAGCACGCAGTGCATGAGAAAAATAACTGTAATCGTGGTTTTGGTGTAAAACAGCGACTTTGCGGTGTATTTTCATATGGGTTTTATGGTTGTATTTTAGTTTTTTAGTCTCTTTTGATAGTGGAAAATATATTACAGAAATAGATGTAGTTTTGATTGGTTTCACAATGGAAAGTACCTGGAAATTGAGCTCAAAGTAGTGGAAATGTTCAATTTTTGCCAATGCTCAAGAGAAAACAAATGAAGTCATCATCCAATACATGTCCAACTGGCCAGTCTAATATGCAGTCATGAATGGGTTGCCATTATTTATACAATTATTACAATAATGCATAACAGTAAATCTTCTATTTTTGTGTGAATAAAAATTCAAAATGGAAAGCAAGTGTAATATAAGAGGGGGGCCTGGAGACATGATGAATGAACAGAGAAAATGTTATTTTAGTGCCAGGAATGTCTGCATTGTTTGTTTTGAACCCTATTTTGAAAGTGGCATCTCTTGAAATTAGTGTGAAATTGGCCAAATTACCAATTTCTGACCACTTTAATGGGTAATTTAAATAGGTAAATGGGCGGTTTCTTGTACTCAATCGAGAGAAAAGAAGAAATACTAGCGGCTGTTGGATTAAGTGTATTCTAACCTAACCACTCTGTAATCCAGTAAAATCACTAATCTGTCACCCTACAGGTCCCGATGATGCTGGATTAGTGATAGTCAACCTGTACTCACCATCATTCGCTCAATCACTGTCTTGCCAGAGGTGTGCAGACATTATACCTCAAATACCCTTTATATTGCAATATCCAGACCCCTCCTTCAGAGTGTAGACACTGTACTTCCTACCTCTAGGACTCAATTATGGCTAACCAATTTCCCCAAATCGATTCATAAATTTTACCTTGCCCACACTCCAATAGCGCATTAAAGTCATACCTCCACTCACTCCTGTCTAATATATGCCTGTTAGATGTTCAAGCCCCTTGCACACAAAAGACCTCCATTACCCCCTTCCTCCAACCCTTCCCTTAGGATGACCCACTTCCCCTTCTTTCCTCCACTACAAATTTATACACTCTACAGGTCATCCTGTTTCATTCCATTCTCTCTAAATGCCCAAACCATCTCAACAACCCCTCCTCAGCCCTCTGGACACTACTTTTAGTAACTCTGCACCTCCTCCTAATCTCTAAACTACAAATTCTCTGCATAACATTCACATCACACATTACCCTCAGATATGACATTATCACAGCCTCCAGTTTCCTTTCCGCTGTAACATTTAAAACCCATGCATCACACCCATATAATAGTGTTGGTACCACTATACTCTTGTACATTACCCTTTCTACCTCCATGGATAAAGTTCTTTATTTACACAGATGCCTGGAAGCACCACTCACCATTTGCCCCTTGTCAATTCTATGGTTCACCTCATTTTTTGTAAACCCATCCATCAACAAGTTCACTCCCAAATCTCTGAATATATTCACTTCTGAGTGGAGGCAAATGGTTTTTATGACTTGACATGCTGTTAGATTTAGGGGGGGAGAGATTACAGTGCCTGTGCTCTGAAGAATGGGTGGAGATATGCTGCAGTTTTTGAACTGTAGTGTGGGCATGCCTCTGGCAAGACAGTGATGGAACGAGTGATGATGCGTTTTCTTTTTCGTGTCACTCTGCCTCAGTGGGAAATGGCCAAGGCAGAGTGACCCCATACTATCCCCTTTCAACTGATATCCAATATTTCTACCAACTTTTACAACTTCTCTTCAGAAGCTCCCAAAAGTACTGTCACTGGCAGAAAGCAACTATGACATCTCTCACTTCAAATTAGATTCTTTATCTTTTAATTCCACACCTCTTCCCAACAACCTAGCATTCACTTCTTTTACAGCCCCCATCTATAAATATGTTAAACAACCATGGTGACATCATACATTCCCATCTCAGGCATACTTTTACTGGAAAATAATCTCCATCTCTCCTATATACTCTAACCTGAGCCTTACAATCCTCATAAAAACTCTTAACTTCTTTAAGTAACATACCACTTATTCCATACACTTGCAACATCTGCCATACTGCACCCCTATCCACCATACTATATGTAAGACTATGATTATATACTAAATATAGGCTCTCTCTGTAGGCCTATGCCTAACTAGCCCAAAGGGCTTTCACTGCTCTTGTGAAAACAGCCTCCTAAATGTCTGAGCTCACTCACTTGTAACTCTACAAAATAACTCAAATTCAAATTATTTTACTTTTGCACTTAAAAACTTTCATGTATAGTGAACATCAAATTTATTCTACTACCAAATTTATACTTTTATTATAATTAAAGAAAAAAAACTAAACAGTACCTGTGGCAAAGCTGGCACTTGAATCAGCCCCTTGAAATATTGAAGATTCCGAGTATTATTGTAGAACTGCTGCAGCTGCTTAAACTGTTTATAGAACCTTGAGCGATGGCCACTTAGCATGTCCGTAGGAAGTGCTGCATTGGTATATAATAATTTAAATTTCTTAAATTGTAAAATTATAGTCTAATTGAGCCTTACATTAATTATATTCCAAATAGACTGAAAGAATTCAGCAGGAAAATTCACTCCTAAATGCAACTATAGAATATTATTTGAAAAAATTAACTAATCAATTAGGCTGCTGCTGGTGGTGGTCGACTGACCCATATATCCATAACATAAAGCAAGAGACCAATATAGACTAAGTTTCAGCCTGTCCTGGATAGACTAAAATGTTGCCTAAAGTTTCATCTCCAATTTGTGGGTTAATTGTGAGATTTTCTAGTCACAGTATCATGACATTTATTCTTTATTTCAAAATTAATTAGTCAAGGGTCTCTAAAGTTAAAGTACAGAAATCCAGTTTTCAGATGGATATGATGACAATTTGCATATCCTCATCTCCCCATTTTATCAGAATATGCTGTACAAATCTGTGACAGCAACTGCAGTTTTCCAATGATAACCTAAACACAAATGAGGATAGTCAAACCCCAAATATTTGCAATAGTTCATTGCTGATGCTCTGAAAACACATGGAAAATATCACGTATTCCTTTCTTTAGCCCTGTCTGTTAACCGAGTGACAGTTTTTCCTTAAACCTCTCAAGCTTTAATATGATGCAGTTTAGTTTAAGTGTGTAGATAAGGTGCAACCTAGTAGCCGAAGTAGGCTGGTGGAGAGATTATGGGAGATTAGGGAATCGAAGCATCATCCTGTACTTTGGCGGTAGGCCCTGCCAAAATGTAATAAAAAAAAGTTCGTCAGCAATTAACAAACACGTTTGGCATCACCTAAACTCTGGTAAACACGACGTAGTAGTACGGAGTTTTTTTCAGTAACCCACAGACTATGATAGAGGGAAGTGTTGTCTTACTCACAATTCACTTTTTCCACCATCTACAAAAGTTCCTGTCTATCACAATGGATTGATATTGGCTATGTATGGGGAATTAGACTCCTTGCATCACTCTTCTGAACCAGGGAGTCAATGTGAATAAAACTGCAGACAGGCTGGGATACATCCTGCAGTCTACTGAACCTCAACAGTGTTACAAGAAACCTGCTTCATTGCACCACTCGCATTAAGAAGGGATCTGGGAGACCCCTGAAGATACCCCCTGTGGAGAAAATTCTCCAGTAAAGGGGGTATTTCTCAGCTCCCCTCAGCCCCCTGAGGGACTTAGCCCTCCCAGAAGGGGCTGGTGGACTCTTCCTTCCTCGCAAACAGCATCATGAGGACCACATGTTTGTACCTTAGCATCACAAGGCACACTTTCTTCTCCTTGCTAAAATTCTTGTCGCAACTACACAATCAATACACACTTCACAGTCAAGACAGTCAAAAACTTGTCAAGGTCATGGAATGTGACTTTCCTACATGCCTGCTTACAAACACAGTTTTAAGGGAATACTCTGTATACTGTAAAGTATGTTATGTGAACTGTTGTCTTACTGACAATAAGCTCATCAATTCTTTTGAGCATTAACTACATTATTATACACCCACACCCTCCTTTTGCATATGATGTTGTAAGGCGGGGGTACTGCATGGGTATTCACTCATTATTTTAAACACTGTGCACTGCCTCACACAAGTACCTTGGTACGAGAAAATGAGGAAATTTTCAACAGTTGGTTGCCCTGCTATGCTACACATCTTTAGCCTCCCCAGTACATGTCACCCAGTAACTCTAACAATGTTGTAATTACACATTTCCACAACTTATTCCAAAGTTGCAGCATTGAAATGTTTGATGGAATATACAGTATACAACATCCTGTACAATAAACATTTATACACATTAGGAGAACTACTACTGTAGATAAGTAAAGTTTTTTGTCTCTCCTAACATGTGTACCATAGACCAAATGCATTTTAATTACACAGTTTTTTAGAAAAACCTTACCCTCCCATCATTTTTTTTTCAGATCTCCTGACAAATTTGAGTCTCCCATTTCAGTTGAACCTAAAGCTCCTAAAATGAATATACAAGGCATTAAATTAAATAGATTATTCTTTAAAATTTGGAAGCAAAATCATTACAAATGAATAAATATTAGCAGCTTCCAAAAGCAAGACATTAAACACTATATTCAAACACTTCTGCTGCAGATATTGAATTTGCAAATCACTAAAATAAAATAAAATTAAGGCATAAAAAAGAGCAGAATATTTTTGCATAGTGCAAATTAAAATATAAGCAAAAAGTGCATCTTCATAAAGCCAAATAAAAAATAAACTTAAATATAAAGCATTAAAAAATGCTAGTGACAAGCTCCCACCATTATTCCCCACATGAATTCTTATTAATTAGTTCAAAAAGACTTACATTCAAATGTGGGTTTATATTTGCTGGGAACTGAAAGAGATAGATGTGTCAATACCATTAGTATTTACAAAAAATTATTGTAGTAGTGCTAACTTGGAGTACAGAGGACAAGCAATGGAAGCAGAAGTATTGAAATTAAAGTGACACGAAAAAAGATTATTTAGACACCATGCTTAATGTTTACAAGTAATCCTTTGGGGTGTACCTCTACCAAACTAGTAATATAACATGAATAATTTAATTAAAACAAACACAATAATATGGAAAAAGATGTTTATAGTTCAGGGCATTTATTAGAAATGTTTCGCCACATTAGGCTTCTTCACATGGCGAAACATTTCTTCTAATAAATATCCTGAACTGTATATAAGTGTACTTTTCCACATCTTAGTCAGTATCACCATACCATTTTTCAGAACACAATAATGATGGCTCTGTGAGCCAGATTCCTATCACATTCCATGATCAGCTATAATGACTAATGGGCCAAGTAGTGCCACTGGAGCCCGGCAAGTGCTGCCATTTGAACACTCCTCAGCTGATAGCACCAACCCACAATTGTGGTACTTTGATCATTTAAATACAATCAAATACCACTACTCTGTAAGCAATGTGGCCAGAATCTTTTTGCAATACACATTCTTAAAAAACTATATAAAGGCTCAACAAGATTTTTTTTCCTATTTAGGAAAATCAGGGTGATTCAATTGTACCTCCAATACCATTTTTCTTATCAGTTCTAACCTAACACAGTGCCAGTTCTAACCATTTTTTATGAAGAGGCAAATTTATATTTTCTCAGATGGATTCATGAGACTGGAAGTCCATAACAAAGGCTAGCTCTTCATGCAAAAATGTTTATTCCCCTACAGCAAAAATATTTCTTCCTATATAGTGATATACTGGATACTCAGTTCCCCCCCCCCTCCTCTCTCTCCTCCACTATTAGCCATATACTAATTTTCAACCATAGCACTATTTATGACTAATCTTTAAGCCTTGTGTGTCAGTTACATTAAGAAATGAAGGTACAGCATATGGGTTATCAAGATCAAATATTTCTAAAATGAAAAAATTATTATACTGTAGCTACAGTCATAATGAAATTTATATTTCAGACAACCTAATAGCACTGACAGTTTGAGGGAGTAAGCTACAAACAAAGAATGCAGAAACTAGGCCTTAACTCAGTGGAGGCAGAAAGAACATAAGGGAATATAACGGGGAGGTAAGGATAGTCTCCTTACCAAGAATACAACAATAAGTGGGCATGGTTCAAAATTACGTTCCCAAACTAGTCACAGGGATTTTTTTTCTCAACACGCCTGCCGTCTCCCACTGAGGCAGGGTGGCCCCAAAA